TGGCACACACTCCGACCACAGCACGCACAATCAGCACAGCGGCCGGGGAGACATATGGGCATTTATTGCATTGAGAGATCACTGCCACGAATAAATGGCCCACCAACTCCACAAATGAGTCTGGGAAAGCTGGACAGGCACAGAGAAGGGTTTGCAGGACTGCCTTTAACGCTAAAAGCTTACCTGTAAATGTCTTTATGGATACCGTTTACTAACAGGGGCATTTTGGGGGGGAGGGTGTTGCTGTATCTACCTACGCTCCTGGTTGTATGAGCGGAGATCATGCACGTAAAGGAAGACAAGAAAAAAGTGGAAAGACAATCCATAACTGCTGTTATGTAGAGAAGACATCCAAGGCAACAAAAAAATGAAATAAAAGAAATTATTCACAAAGCTTTGCCTTCTTTGAGGTCAGGTGCCGAGCGGGGCTCAAATCCCCTCATACACTGTTACGAGACAGCTGAATTTATGTGTGCTACAACTACTCGTGACACTTTTGTCTTCATGCATGTGCAGAAAAGCAGAAATAACAGACATAACCATAACCAGCATGTTCCTTTTGCATTAAAAAGGCCAACTTTAAGAGTTAAGATGGAGTTGTTAAAGTATAGTGAAAATGGAAACGATGACAGCTACTCTTTTTCTTTTTACCTGTTTGTGTGCAGGCACTCGGCACTCCCGCCCCGGATAGACCTGTGCATCTCCAGGACCTCACTGTCATTGGCATGACGATGGGTGAACAAATGAAAAACAACACAAAAGAAGAGGATGGCAACTCAGACAGGTAAAGTGAAGTTATGAATGACAGAAACCAGGAAATCATAATTCTGAGATTTCAATCAAGTCTCCGTTCAACAGCAGAGAATCCCATATGGAAAAGACTTAGAATAAACCTGTGCATACACTCCTGTAGTAAATACTCATGTTTTACATACAACTCTTAAGAAAGTGGCATGCAACGCCACTACGGTGTGCACTTTCTATTTTGAGTCCAAAAGTGCATCTGCAATGAAAAGGGGGCTGTGCACTGTCTATGATGGCTTAACAGCAGAAAAGCTCTACACCTTCCACATTCAGTGGCTGCAGTAGAAAGAATAGCCCAAAAAACCTCAAAACACTGACCAACTCCCACTCTGTGGGCGCTGGTGAGATCGTTCAGAATGAATCTGGAGTCTGCAGCTCCGAAATGGAAATTTCCATCATGTTTTTGGTGCAAGGTTGTGCAAACATAAATGCAGTTTTACATTTTATGTGTTTGGACTGTAGTAAAATACGTTTCTGTGAGTCATTATCAGTGTTGGGAAGGTTACTTT